CAGTCCACGGGGGAGGCTTTGCCCTGGAGGAGGTGGGAATGGGGGGTGGGCTGGGGGGAAGGTGAGGGGGGCGGGAGGGGGGAGAACAAAGGAATCCGTGTCTGATATGTAGAACTGAATTGTATTGCAAAATAAAAATAAAAAAATATATTAAAAAAAAAGGTAAAGAGCAATACGGTACCACCAGAACCTAGTGATCCTTCAACAGCAAGACCTGAACCTCCCAAAGCAGATGATCCAGAAGTAAGAGACCTTAAAAACAACTTTATGAAGGTGATAGAGGCCTTGAAAGAATAAATAAAAATTTTCTTTAAAAGAATAGAAGAAAAGACAAACAAAAATTTGGAGGAAATCAAGAAATCTCTTAAAGAAACTCAAGAAACCAAAGAAAAAACAATTAAACACGTGATGGAAACAGTTCAAGACTTCAAAATTAAAATAGAGGCAATAAAGTAAACAAAAACTGAGGGAATTGTGGAAAACAAAAATCTAAGTAAACTAACAGAAACTACAGATGCAAGCTGAATCAAGGGAATATAAGAAATGGCAGAGAGAATCTTAAGCAGTGAGAATATGATAGAACAGATTCATCTATCAAAGAAAATGTTAAATCCACCAAATTTTTAATAAAAGATATCCAGGAAATATGGGACACCATGGAAAGACCAACCCTAAGACTAATAGGGATAAAAGAAGGAGAATTCCAGCTTAAAGGCACAGAAAATATATTCAACAAATTCTTAGAAGATAACTTTTCCAACCTAAAGAAAGACATGCCTATGAAGGAACAAGAAGCATATAGAACACCAAATAGAATGAACTATAAAAAAGTTCTCATGCCACACAATACTCAAAACACTAAACATACAAAGAAAGAATATTAAGAGCAGCAAAGGTAAAAGGTCAAGTAACATATAAAGTCAGACCTATGAGAATTACACCCAACTTCTCAATGGAAAGTCTGAAAGCCAGAAAGTCCTGGACAGATGTTCTGCAGATACTAAGAGACCACAGATGCCAGCACAAACTACCATACCCAACAAAACTTTCAATCACCATAGATGGTAAAAACAAGATATTCCATGACAAACCAGATTTAAACATTACATATCCACAAATCCAGCCCTACAAAAAGTACTAGAAGGAAACTCCAATCCAAGTAATTTAGCTGCAACTCCCAAAACACAGACAGTACATAATCTCATGCCAGCAAATTGCAAAGAAGGGAAACACACACACACACACACACACACACACACTAAAAAAAAAACCCAGGAATGAACAATCACTAGTCATTAATATTCTTTAATATCAATGGACTCAATTTGCCTAAAAACCACATGGTAACAGAATACATACAAAAACAGGATCCATCCTGCTGCTGTATACAAGAAACATACCTCAATCTCAAAGACAGACAATACCTCAGAATAAAGGATTGGGAAAAGTATTTCTAATCAAATAGACCAAAGAAAAAAGAGTGTGGCTAATATCTAATAAAATTCACTTCAAACTGAAATCAACTGAAAAAAATAGAGAAAGATATTTCATATTCATCACAGGAAAAATCCATCAAGATGAAGTCTCAATTCTGAACATTTATGCCCCCAATACAAGGGCACCTACATTTGTCAAAGAAACATAACTAAAGCTTAAATCACACATCTAACATCACATACTAATAGTGGGATACTTCAACAACTTTCTCTCACCACTGCACAGGTCTTCTAGACAGAGTATTAACAGAGAAATAAGGGAACTAACAGATGTTAAGATTCAAATGGACCTAACAGACATCTATAGAAAATTTCACTGATACACAAAAAAATATACATTCTTCTCATCATCCAATGGAATCTACTCCAAAACTGACCACATAGTCAGTAACAAAGCACATTTTAACAGATCAAATAATTGGAATAAACCCCTGTATCTTACCAGACCACCATGGCTGAAAGTTAGTATTCAACAACACAAAATGCAGAAAGCCTACAAACTCATCGAAACTGAAGAATGCTCAACTGATTCACCACTGGGTCAAGGAAGAAACAAAGAAAGAAATTAAAGACTTCCTAGAATTCAGCAAAAGTGAATGTACAACATACCCAAACTTAAGGTACACTGTGAAAGCAATGCTAAGATGAAAGTTCATAGCACGAACTGCCTACATAAAAAAGTTGGAGAAATTTCAGACAAGTGACTTAAAAGCTCAACTGAAAACTCTAGAACAAAGAGAAGCATACTCACCCCCAGAGGAGTAGATAACAGGAAATAATCAAATTGAGGGCTGAAATCAATAAAATAGAAACAATGAAAACAATACAAAGAATCAATGAAACAAAGAGTTGGTTCTTTGAGAAAAATCAACAAGATAGACAAACCCTTATTCAAACTAACCAAAAAACAGAGACAGAATATCCAAAACAATGAAATTAGAAATGAAAAGGGGGAAGTAATAACAGATACTGAGGAAATACAGAGAATCATCAGGTTATACATTGAAAATCTATACTCCACAAAACGAGAAAATGTAAAAGAAATGGACAATATAGGTACCACATACCAAAATAAATCAGGATCAGATAAACAATTTAAATAGACCTATAACCCCTAAGGAAATAGAAGCAGTCATCAAAAGACTCCCAACCAAAAATATCCAAAGGCTAGATGGTTTTAGCATAGAATTCTACCAGAACTTCAAAGAAGAGCTAATATTAATACTCCTGAAATTGTTAGGAACAATAGAAACAGAAGGAACATTGCCAAACTCGTTTTATGAAGCTACAGTTTGCCTGATATTCAAACTACCTAAAAATACAACTAAGAAAGAGAATTACAGACCAATCTCTATCAGGAATATTGTTGTAAAAATACTCAATAAAGTACTAGCAAGCATAGTCCAAGAACCCAGGAAATGAATCATCTACCATGATCAAATAGGCTTCATCCCAGAGATGCAAGGATGGTTCAGCATATGAAAATCTGTCAATGTAATACACCATATAAACAAACTGAAAGAAAAAAACCACATGAACATCTCATTAGATGCTGAAAATGGCTGATAATAAAGGCAATATACAGCAAATCAACAGCCAACATCAAACTAAATGTTGAGAAACTCAAAGCTATTCCACTAAAATCAGGAACAAAACAAGGATGTCCTTCTCCATTCCTGTTCAATATAGTACTGGAAGTTCTAGCTAGAGCAATAAGACAAAAAAATTAAAATAATAAAAAAAGAGATCAAGGGGTAACAAATTGGAAAAGAAGTCAAACTTTTGCTATTTGCAGATGTAATGATAGTATATATAAGTGACCCCCAAAATTCTGACAAAGAACTCCTATGGCTCATGAACACCTACAGTAATGTGGCAAGATACAAGATTAACTAAGAAAAAATAGTAGCCCTCCTATATACAAATGATAAATGGGCTGAGAAAGAAATTAGAGAAACATTACCCTTTACAATAGCCACAAATAATATAAAATACCTTGGGGTAACTCTAATCAAACAAGTGAAAGACCTGTATGACAAGAACTTTAAGTCTTTGAAGAAAGGAATTGAAGAAGATATCAGAAAATGGAAAGATCTCTCTTGTTCTTGGATACATAGGATCAACACTGTTAAAAAAAGGCAATCTTACCAAAAGCAATCTACTCTTACAATGTAATCCCAATAAAAATCCCAACACAATTCTTCACAGACATTGAAAGAACAATACTCAGTCTCATATGGAAAAACAAATATCTCAGGATAGTCAAAACAACCCTATACAACAAAGGAACTTCAGGAAGCATCACCATCCCTTATTTCATGCTGTACTATAGAGCGAATAGGCATAAAAACAGACACATTGATCAATGGAATCAAATCAAAGATGCTGTTATTAATCCACATCCCTAGAAACATCTGATTTTTAACAAAGAATCCAAAATTATACAATGGGAACAAGAAAGAATCTTTAACAAATAGTGCTGGCATACCTGAATATCTACATGTAGAAGAATTCAAATAGATTCATACCTACTGTCATGCACAAAACTCAAGTCTAAATGGATCAAAGACCTCAACATAAATCCAGTTACACTGAACCTCTTGGAAGAGAAAGTGTTAAGTATCCTTGAATGCACTGACACAAGAGACCACTTCCTAAATACAACACCAGTAGCATAGACACTGAGATTAACAATTAATAAATAGGACCTCCAGAAACTAAGAAGCTTCTGTAAGTTGAAGGACACTATCAATAAGACAAAAAGGCAGCTTACAGAATAGGAAAAGATATTTACCAATCCCACATCTGACATAGGGCTGATCTCTAAAATATATAAAGAACTCAAAAAACTAGACATCAAAATATCAAATAATCCAATAAAAAATGTGGAACAGAACTAAACAGAGAATTCTCAACACAAGAATCTCAAATGGCAGAAACACATTTAAAGAAGTGTTCAACATCCTTAGCCATCAGGGAAATGCAAATCAAAGTGACTCTGAGATACCATCTTATTCCTGTCAGAATGGCTAAGATCAAAAACACTGGTGACAGCTTATATTGGAGAGGATGTGGAGAAAGGGGAACACTCCTCCACTGCTGGTGGGAATGCAGTCTCATTCAGCCACTCTGGAAATCAGTATGGCAGTTTTTCAGAAAATTGGGAATCAACCTACCTAAAGACCAAGTAAAACCACCATTGGGTATATACACAAAAGATGTTCAATAACACCAAAAGCACCTTTGCTCAACTATGTTCATAGCAGCATTATTCATAATAGCCAGAACCTGGAAACAATCTAGATGCCCTTCAGCCAAAGAATGGATAAAGAAAATGTGGTACATTTACACAATGGAATATTACATAGTATTAAAAAACAATGTCATCATGAAATTTGTAGGCAAATGGATGGAACTAGAAAAAATCATCCTGAGTGAAGTGTGGTGATATTTTATTTGTGATGAAATGTGGTATTTTATTTGTATGTTAATAAATAAAGTTACCTGGAGATAAGAGGTCAAGCAGAGGTCAGGTGGTGGTAGCACATACCCTTAATCTGATCACATGGCAGACAGAGTCTCTGTGTGGTCAAGGACACAGTCAAGGTAGTGGCATGAGCCTTTAATCCCAGTATCAACCATAGAGACCTGGAGGTCTGCATAGACAGGCAGTGATGAGGAAGTCATGTGGCTGGGCTTAGAGCCAATGAGAAGGCAGAACAGAAAGGCAATAAAAACACAAGTCAGGCAGGAAGAAATCTCTCTCTGGGGAAACTACTGCTGGTGGTAAGCTAAAGCTAGTTGTGGCTCTCTGATCTCTTTGGCTGTTATCTCTGTATTTGGCTCTCTGTTTCTTATTTACTAAGAGTGTTTAGAATTTTATCTACAGTGAGGTAACCCAGATCTGGAAAGGTAAACATGATATATACTCACTTATAAGTGAATTTTAGTTATAAGGCAAAGGATAACCAGGCTACAATGCACAACCGCAGAGAAGATAGGTAAAGAGGAGGACCCTAGGAGGGATACTTATAGATTGCTCCAGGAAGGGGAAAGGGTTAAAATTTCCTGGATAAACTGGGAGGGGGAGTTGAGAGGAGGGGATGGGAGGTGGGAACATGAGTGCTCGAGATGGCCGAATAGGGGGAGACATGAGAAGGGGGAGCAATGAAAGAGATATCTTGACAGAGTGCACCATTAAGGGGATGGGGAGAAATTTGAAGCTAGAGAAAACACTAGGAACTTACAAGATTGTCCCCTGCTAAGACTCAGAGCAATGGTGGAAAGAGTGCTTGAACTAGCCTTCCCCTGCACTCAGATTGGTGTCTGTCCTAATTGTCATCATAGCACCTACATCCTGTGACTGATGGAAGCAGATGCAGAGACCCACAACCAAGCACTTGACCAAGATTCTAGAGTTCAGTTAAAGAGAGAAAGGAAGGATTATAGGAGCAAGTGGGGTCAGGATTATGATAGGAAAAACCACAGAGGTAGCTGACCCAAGTGAGTGGGAGCTCATAGACTCTGGACTGAAAGCTGGGGAGCCTGTATGGGACCACACACACCCTCTGAATATTGGTGACAGTTATGTGGCTTAATATGTTTCTGGGTCAACTGGCAATGGGACCAGGACTTATCCTAGGTAAATGTACTAACTTTTTAGAGCCCATTCCCTATGGTGGGATACCATATTCAGCCTTGATGCAGGTGGGGAGGGTTAGGTCTAGTCCCAACTTGGTAATCCAGCCTATGTTGACTACCCAAAGAAGGCTTCACCCACTATGAGGAGGAGATGGTGAGGGATGGGGAGAGGTGGGGGAGTGGGAAAAGGGGAGGGAGGGAGAACAGGGGAGGGCATGTAAAAGGAAAGAAAAAAATTTTAATTTAAAAAATTATAAAAAAGGAGCTCTTGGTAGCTTTTTCAGGCAGTCAGACTATTGCAATATGCAAAGTCTTTAACAGATAGATTGCACACTAAAAGATTTACTCCTATATAAAGTACAAAACTTTACCACACTGACTATGTTTATAGGGTTTCTCTGCAGTTTGATTTTGTGTCATGATTTTGAAGATTACTGATGCAGGAAAAAACTTTTCCACACTGATGACATTCAAAAGGTTCTCTCCAATATGTGTTCTTTTAAGCATTTGAACAGTATTATGATATGCAATGAATTTACCTCACTGATTACATACATAGGGTTTCTATGCAGTATAGAATTTTTAATGTTTTCAGTGACTATTGTGACAGACAAAAAACTTGATCACACTGATTACAATCATAGGTTCCTCTCCAGGAAGTGTTCTTTTATGCCTTTGAAGACTACTCTGACATGCAAAGGTTTTACAATACTGATTACAAACATAGGGTTTTTTTGGAATATGTGTTCAATTATGCATTTGAAGAGTATTGAGATATGCAAAGGCTTTACCACAATCATTACATTCATAGGGTTTTCTTTCCAGTACAGGTTCTTGTATGCCTTTGGAGAGTACTATAACCTGCAAAGCATTTACCACATTGATGGCATTCATAGGATTTTTCTCCAACATGTGTTCTTTTATGCCTTTGAACAGCACATGACATACAAAGACTTTACCAGACTGATTACATACCGAGAGTTTCTCTGCAGTATATGTTCTTTCATGTTTTCAGTGACTAATGTGACAAAAAAGCTTGAGTGTACTGATTACATTCATAGTTTTCCTCTCCAGTAAGTGTTCTTTTATGCCTCTGAAGACTACTGTGACATTCAAAGGCTTTAACGTTGACTACAAACATAGAGCTTCTTTCCAGTATACGTTCTTTTATGCATCTGAAAAATACTGAGAATTTCAAAGGCTTTACCACAATCATTACACTCATAGGGTTTCTCTCTTTTGTGGGTTCTTTTATGCCTTTGAAGAGTAAAGAGATGTGCAAAGGCTTTACCACAGTGATTACATTCATAGGGTTTCTCCCCAGTATGTTTTCTTTTATGCATTTGAAAAGTGTTGGGACATGCAAAGGCTTTACCCCATTGCTTACATTCATAAGGTTTGTACCCAGTATGTGTTCTTTTATGACTATGAAGATTAGTGTATTGTGCAAAGGAGTTACCACAATCATTACATACAAAGGATTTCTTTCCAGTATGTGTTCTTTTATGACTTTAAAGATGACTGTTTAGTGCAAAGGCTTTACCACATTGATTACATTCATAGGGTTTCTCTCCAGTGTGGGTTCGTTCATGTATTTGGAGACTATTGTGATCTGCAAAGGCTTTACCACACTGATTACATCATACAGTTTCTTTCCAGTATGGTTTCTTTCACGTAGTCAGAGATGATAGTGGTCTGTAAAGGCTTTATGACACTGAATAAGTTCATAAGCTGTCTCTCCAGTGTGTTCTTTTATGCCTTTTTAGACGACTGTAATCAGCAAAGGCTTTACCACATTGCTTACATTCATAGGGTTTCTCTCCAGTATGTGTTCTTTTATGCACTTGAAGATTATTATGCCTAGCAAAGGCTTTACCACATTGATAACATACATAGGATTTCTCTCCAGTATGTGTTCTTTTATGGCTTTGAAGATTACTGTTTTGTGCAAAGGCTTTACCACAATAATTACATTCATAGGATTTCTCTCCAGTATGGGTTACTTTATGTTTTCGGAGAGTACTGTCGTCTGCAAAGGTTTTATCACACTGATTACATTCATAGGGTTTCTCTCCAGTATGTGTTCTTTCATGTCTTTGAAGAGTACTGGCATGTGCAAAGGCTTTACCACATTGATTACATTCATAGGGTTTCTCTCCAGTGTGCGTTCTTTTGTGCACTTGAAGACTTTGTTGACATACAAAGGTTTTACCACATTGAGTGCATTCATAGGGTTTCTCTCCAGTGTGTGTTGTTTTATGCATTTGAAGACTTCTGTACCATACAAAGGCTTTACCACACTGAGTACATTCATAGGGTTTCTCTCCAGTGTGTGTTGTTTTATGCATTTGAAGACTTTTCTGCCATGAAAAGGTTTTACCACATTTATTGCATTCATAGGATTTCTCTCCAGTATGGGTTATTTTATGTACTCGGAGAGTACTGTCATCTGCAAAGGTTTTACCACACTGATTACATTCATAGGGTTTCTCTCCAGTGTGTGCTCTTTTATGTCTTTGAAGATGACTGTCTCGAGCAAAGGCTTTACCACATTGATTACATTCATAGGGTTTCTCCCCAGTATGTATTCTTTTATGAATTTGAAGATTACTGTATTGTGCAAAGGCTTTACCACAATCATTACATTTAAACGGTTTCTTTCCAGTATGCGTTCTTTTATGTCTTTGAAGATTACTGTATCGTGCAAAGGCTTTACCACATTGATTACATTCATAGGGTTTCTCTCCAGTGTGTGTTCTTTCATGCATTTGAAGATTTTTTTGACATGCTAAGGCTTTACCACATTGAAAGCATTCATAGCGTTTCTCTCCAGTGTCTGTTTTTCTATGCATTTGAAGATGACTATAATTTGCAAAGGCTCTAACACATTGATTGCATTCATAAGGATTCTCACTAGTATGTGTTCTTTTATGCCATTGAACAGTACTGGGATATGCAAAGGTGTTAAGACATTGAGTATGTACAGAAGGTCTCTCTCCAGTTTGACTTCTTTCTTGCCTATAAGGATAATGAAACATGTAAAAGCTTTACCACATTCAATACACTGTTGAATCTTTATATCTGTATGAAATAATTTTACAATATGGAATAAGGCCATCAGGTTTTACCACTGTGTTTACACTCATGTTTTTCCCCTTCATTAATAGTTGTTTTGCATCATTGATGGTAAGATCATTTACTACAAGGTTCACATTTACAGAATCTTTTTCTATATAAGATTTTTCACATATTTGAAGAGAACTGGAAAAACTCAGAGCTCTACTACCTATATTATATTTATCAATTTTCCTGTACTGTGAGTCATACTACATTTGCTAAGTGAACTAGGACAAACAGAAATATTTACATAGTCTTAGTATTCACAGGACATTTGTACAGTGTCTGATAATGCATTAACAATGAAACTGCAAACCAACTATTTGTATACTTGAATCAAGTTCAACAAGTATACTCAAACCAGGAACTGCTATATATCTTTTAATTGTTCTGAGAGAGATATATGTCATGTCTTTTCATATGCCTATGCTCATATGGCTTGTATCCAGAGTCATATATAATATACCTAGTAACAGAAGTAATAAATAAAAAATTTCCACAGTGAATTCAGTTTTTATTTTCTGTCCTCATAGACATGTGGAACAGGGATTAAGATTTCGACAAAACAACTGCCCCTTGACTCCTTACTCTAACTGCCCCTCTCACTAAACAGCACAGTCACAACAAGTATGTGAGTAATGTCAGCTTTACTATGAACTGTTTGTTTATTAGAAGGTTATGGAGATATCCTTATCACATCTTCTTTTTTTTTTTGGTTTTTCAAGACAGGGTTTCTCTGTATAGTTTTGTGCCTTTCCTAGAACTCACTTTGTAGACCAGGCTGGCCTCAAACTCACAGAGATCCCCTTGCCTCTGCCTCCTGAGTGCTGGGATTAAAGGCATGCACCACCACCGCCCGGCTCTTATCACATCTTCAATGTGTATCCATTTTGTAAAATGAGTGGTATAAAATAAATGGACTGACAAATGCTGTGGGATGTCTTTCTGTATGCTGTGAATTTTTGTTGCTCCCATTGGCTAGTAAATAAAGTTCTTCTGGCATATGGCAAAGGAGCTTAGAGGCAGGTGGAAAATCCAAGTAGAGAGACAGGAAGAAGGTGGAGAGAGGCCAGCCACCACTAAACAACATGCCAGCAGACAGGTAAGCCACAGAACAAGTGACAAAACATAGATTAATAGAACTGGATTAATTTTAGCTATAAGAGCTAGCTAGCCAGAAGCCTGCCATACGTCATGCAATTAGTAATTAACATTAAGCCTCTGAATGATTATTTTATAAGCCACTGAGGGATCATGTGGCTGGGTGGTACTGGAGAAATTTTCCACCTACAGACAGATCTACACCATAGCTCTAATGTTGCTATGATTCAAATTGTGATATCAGTGAAGGCATTGTTTCCTTGACTTCTTTCTTAAAAGAATACTCTGTAAATGCAATTCACCTAAGCTTTTTTTTTGTTTGGGAGACATTTAATGACCATTTCTATTTCCTTCGGGGTTATTGGTCTATTTAAATAGTTTATCTGGTCTTGATTTTACTTTGGTATTGGGTACCTATCCAGAAAATCATCCATTTCTTTCAGATTTTCCAATTTTGTGGAGTACAGGTTTTTGAAGTATGACCTGATGATTCTCTGGATTTCCTCATTGTCTGTTGTTATGTCCCCCTTTTCATTTCTGATTTTGTTAATTTGGATGCTCTCTCTCTGCCTGGCTACTCTGAAAAGTACCAAGTGAAAACCTAAAAAACAAGTTAACTTTTAAATTAGATGATATGTAAATTGATTAAAGTACAGTTGTGGATGATGACTTATTTTTCTCAAAGAATGTATCCTACTTGTTATAAACAATCAAGGCATAGAATGGCCTGAGTCTATAACACTGGGATTGATAGGCAAAACATGATGAGAGAGTGATTGACAAATAAACCAGATTTTGCTCTAACAAAAATGTAATTCACCTACCTAAAATTGAGATATGTGGTTTTGTGAGAATTTAATAATTATCAATGCACTTTAAATGGTGCTTATTCATGCTTTACTTTTATTTAAAACCTCCAGGACATATTATAACTTACTTAGTGGAACATTTGTATTAGCTTCCATATGAAAATTACCTTTTATGTCTTCTAGAACTTTCACAATATTCTTCAATATTATTGTCCTCCCAACTGTATCCTAAAATATAATAACAAAATGTATGTTATATTATTGAACATTGTGCAAAATTTTAGTTACTATCCTCAGTGAACCTTAGAACCATGCCTGATTTATTCACATCATTCTTCTTCTTTCTCAATCAAATTATAGAAGAACATCAATAACCAGGGAACTGTTGTCCCCTTATTTTAAAATATGAAGGAAAATTTAGTCTTACCTATAGTAGTGAGGTGCCTGTAGGTCTCGAGCATCACATCTTTGTAGAGATTCTTCTGGGAAGGATCCAGCAAAGTCCACTCTTCCAGTGTGAAATCAATATGTACATCATCATAGGTCACTGCATTCTAAAATATGCCATATATGTGTACAACAGAAAACAGAATACATTGTAAATGTATACTTCTTTGACACTATAGTCATATAATTCTGGTCCTCCCCACACTTATTTCATGACGTAGACATTATAATGTAATCACCAAGTTACTTTAGAAGGAAACTGAATAGGAGGTTCCCCTCTGTCATTTCTGTAACCTTTGCAAGAGAAAGGACTATTAACAAACATAGAGAGACAAGTAAACAAATCAACAGTACAGAGTACACATTAGAGAAATTTTATGAACAATTATTAACTACAAAAAAGAAAAATAAGGTGGACAAATTGGGTGTATGGCCTCATGCCTTTAACCCCAACACTCAGAAGGCAGAGGCAGGTATATCTGCCTCTGGGGTTAATGCCAGCCTAGTCTATGTAATAAGGTCCAGGACAGCCAGAAGTACATATTGAGACCATGTCTCTCATTCAAAAATCAGTCAAATAAACAAAAATGAAAGAACTCAGAAGTTTTCACTGAAGTTCCTACAAAGAGTTACATATTCCTTCCAGTTCTGTATTCATCTTCAGAAACCTGAAGTGTCTCAATTAAAACTGTAATATCAATAATATTTTACTAAAAGGCACTATGTGTTTAAACAGTTACAAAAGGTCAGACAAAAACATTAGCAATATATGTTGATCATAAATAATCAACACAGGGCAGAAGATAGTTCAGTAGTAAAGAACTCTTGATGTCCTTGTATATAGGTGGGCACAATTGCCAGTACTTACATGGGGGATCAAAACTATCCACTGTTTCAAGTTAAGAATTTCTGAGACCATCTTTTGATCACTGTGAGGACTAGGTACCCATGTGGTGCATATCACAACTATTTCATACATGGTGTATATTGATACACACTGGTAAAATACTCAATTCATTTAAAATTTCAAAATAAACAGCAGGCAGGAAGACGGTTATGCACCTGCAGTCCAAAGACCCAAAAGGCTCAGGCAGTATTAATGTCATGAATACATGCCATTCTGAAAAACAGAATGAACCCTCTGCCAAATTTTAAAATTCAAACTATGGGTGAACCTCACTATAACATCATATGCCCAACAAAAACCTACTTTCCCAGCCCATCACCCAATAACAGAAAAACAAAAAATCCAGGAATGTGGGCCAACTGTTTATTCCTAGATCTTTGGAGTCAGAGTCAAAGGGATCTCTGAATTTGAGGCCAGCCTGGTGAATAGAGGTGTACTTCCAGGACAGCAAGGGCTATAACAACAAAACTTGTCTTAAAAAACAAAGAAAATCATTAAAATATAAGGCTAACAAACTGCCTTAGCACTAAATACCAAATATTTCTACTGTATCTTATGCAATTTAGAGATAGAGTCAATATGGTGATGAAGGCATAAAGCTGGCTGATAGTTTCAACCACAACACAGTAGACAAAAGGAACAGGAAATGAATTGAGGATATAGATACTCTTATCATATCCACAATGAGGAATTTCATCCAGAAGGTCTCCTCCTACTAATGGTTTTATAAGCAATGGAAAGAAAGACACCAAGGAGAGACACATGTCCCAATACATCATCCTATCTGGGAGGTTTATCATTCAATCAACTACATTCTGTCTCAGGACACTATAGGCTCATGGTCATCCATGAAGAAAATGCATTTACTCACTTCCTTGATTGTCATAGTCTACAACAGTGCTTGCACTGTTCAAATGTCCAAAGTCTCTTCTGAAACTCAAAGTAATCTCTTGACAGGAACATCTTGTAAAATCAGAAATGAAGTTAGATCTTTCCAACATACAATGGCACAGAATATCATTCACATTCCAAAAGAGATAAATGGAGACATAGTAAGGGAAGATTGGACCAAGGCAGGACTGAAACACAGCAGGACAAACATCAAGTCCTGTACTCTGTCTCAGATGCATGGGGCTTCAGTTTCAAAGGGCTTACATGGCCCTATCCCTGAAACTTCTCATACATCTCTTCCTTTGGTTACTGCTACTCCCTATATTCAGCTAAGTCTCCATGGAAGACATCTTATAGATTAGGTATCTCAATATCTTGTGATCCCAAAATGCAACCCAGGCTGTTGTGTAATATTTTAAGATGTGTTATACTCTTTGTGCTGTGGAACTTTGGTTTTAATGATGCAAAGATGTGCTGCATTCTTTTATGTTGCATTTGTTTAACTCTTGAATCTGTGATACTTCTAAAGCCTGTCTAGAATACATGACTGGTCTAATAAAGAGATGAACCACTAATAGCTTGGCAGAAAAGGATAGGTGAGGGTAGCAGGCAGAGAGAATAAATGGGAGGAGAAATCTCGGAGGATAAAGGAAGGAGGAGCAAGAACAGGAGAGGACACCAGGGGCCAACCACCCAGCTATGCAGCAAGCCACAGAGTAAGAAGTAAAGAAAGGTATGCAGAATAGAGGAAGATAAAAGCCCATGGGCAAATGTCAATGGGATAATTTAAGTTAAGAAAAGCTGGCTAGAAACAAGCCAAGCTAAGGCCCAGCAATTATGAGAAAAAATTAAGCCTCCATTTGTGTGATTTTTTTTGAGAGCTATGTGGCAGACTCCCAAAGAATAAAGAGTAGAAAAACACCAACAATACCAGGCTTTAATCCTCACAGCTGCATGCAATGAAATCTCAGTCTACTCACTGGGTTTCTGACTGAACCAAATATAGATGCCTGCAACAATGCTAGACAGTAACCATAGACTAAGAATCTATGGCCTGGCTGGGCAGTGGTGGCACATGCCTTTAATCCCAACACTCGGGAGGCAGAGGCAGGTGAATCTTTGTGAGGTCGAGGCCAGTCTGGTCTATGGAGCAAGATCCAGGAAAGGTGCAAACTACACAGAGAAACCCTGTCTCAACCCCCCCCCCCCAAAAAAAAAGAATCTATGGCCTTAAATTTTGAATTTTTCCTGTTTCCAGGAACAGCACATGATGGGTGATCCTGCAAAGTTTGATTTCATAAATGGGATGGACATTAACATGCTTGGTGCAGCAGGTTTTGCATGAAGTTGCTTCCTAGGACTAGGAATCATTTTGCTTACTCCTTATAAGCTGAAGGTTTAGCTAGGGAGAGTCTTACCCCTAGGGCATCTTGCTAGGCTTCCATTCCATAGCAAGGGCCTTCTCTATAATGGTGATAAACTCCTTGAAAATTCCTGCCTGTTTCAGTGCTTGATTGCCCTTTGAACTTACCTTTTCCTTTTCATTTACCTGTTGTTTCTTTTCACTGTAGACATGAATGAGTCATCACTAATAACCACCCAACAGATTCAATATTCCATTTTAGGAATTAGCCCATTAATTTTTATTTCTGCCTTACTTAATTTCCAGGGTATAGGCAAAATAAGAAAGACTTTGGAGCCAAAACATGACATAAATGATCTTTAGCCTAATTTTCTATGGTGTCTATCTATTTCTAACTGAAATCCTATGATGTCAAACTATACTTACCACCATTCATCTTAGCATTCCCATTTTCTGGTCCTAAAAGAACAGACAATTAAGTTCTGTGTACAACTTTCTATGGTTTTTGTCACCTAATGTCTTGATATCTTCCAAATTCTTCCAAAAAGACAACACTCCCAGGTTCTACCTAGCAACAAAATAACTTTTTTGTTCCCTTTCTTGTGTTATAACTTGCTTTTATCCTGCTGTGATTGAATCCTCTAACAAAAAACACCTCAGGCAATGAATGTGTTTATTTGGCTGGTTGTGTCAGATCACACTCCATCATTTTGGGAGATTAGGATAGAAATTGAAGCTAACAATGCAAGGTAAAACCCATGGGCCATGATTGTTCCTGGCTTTCTCTCTTGCCCAGTCAGTGTCTCATGCTCAGTTAGCTCCACTTTTTAGCCCAGGCACACTTTCTTGGGGATATTGTCATCCTAGGTAGAGGAGCCTTCCCATGCCACCCTAAGTGGAAGAGCCTTCTAACATCAATCATCAATCAAAACAATCTCTAACAGACATGACAGCATTGGGCTATTATGGATAAAGCCACTATGAACATAGTTGAGGAAGTGTCTTTGTTGTAGGATAGAGACATATCTTTTGGGTTTATGCCCAAGAGTGATATAGCTGGGTGTTGAGGGAGATTGACTCCCTATTTTCTAATGACTTCCACAGTGGCTATACAAGTTTGCACTTGCAACAGCAATGAATCTCCTTCCTCCATGTCCTGGCCAGCATTAGCTGTCACTTGTCTTTTTGATCTTAACCATTTTGACAGATATAAGAAGAAATCTCAAAGTAGTTTTGATATGCATTTCCCCAATGGCTAAGGACATTGAACATTTTTTCAAGTGCTTCGCAACCACTTTAGATTCCTCTACTGAGAATTCTGTTTAGAGCTGTAGCCCAATATAATTGGATTATTTGGTTTGTTTTGTCTAGTTTCTTGAGTTCTTTATTATCCTGAGTGAGGCAACCCAGAAGCACATAGACAAACATGGTATGTACTCATTTATAATTGCATATTAGTAGTTAAGTAAAGTACAATCACAGTAATCACAGTTAATCACAGTACAATCCGTAGATGCAGAGAGGCTAAGTAACAAAACATCTCTAGGGGAGATGCATAGCTCTCCCCTAGGAAGGAAATAGAGGAAATAGATTGTGTGTGCACTGGAGGCAGGTTGGGATGGGAACAGGAAGGATCAGGTGAGTAAGGAATGAACAGAGTGGGAGAAGACAATGAGACATGAATGCAATAGGGGACCTCTTAGCAGGAGACGTGGAAACAGTGCAGCAAAAACTTCCTGGAAGCTATTAGGATGACCCTAGTGAGGATTCCTAGTAATTAAGAATATGGAAGCTGAACCAGCCATCTTCTGTAAACACATTAGGCTCCCAGTGGTGGGACTGGGATACCAAGCCAGCCACAAAACATTAGACCCACATTTTTCCTGCCTGCTACATATGCTGAGACAATGGTGGCTGAGAGATTCTGTAGTGGACAACCAATGACT